CATTCATCAACTTGAAGCGGGAGAGGTGCTGGAGAGGGGGGCGTGGCCCGTGGTTGGTGATCCCCCGTTGTCTTTCACAATACATACACGTATATTAGACACACGCGCGTGCACACACAAATGTACATATACTATCAATAGAGTAGCTTTCATGTCCGGCCGACCTGACGGGTACCGCTGCCCGGACGAGGCCATTTCGGATCCTTTCCGGTAGAATTTTTTGATAATTTTTTTTTGAATATGTTTTCTTGATCAAGTCTAGTTTATGCCTACCAAATTTCAGCTAAAAATACAATCGGGAAGAAATTAGTCACTGTTGGAGCCAAATAAGTGATGGGGACATGTAGCCCGTGGTTGTTGGTTCTCTCGTTGTCTTTCACAATGTATATATGTATAGTACACACAAATGTACATATACTAAAGAAATACTCTCTTCGTTCTGTTGGACTTAGCCTGCTTTTGCTTTTCTGTTATCTTAACAACCTTATCACTTTCTTTCTATGATAAATTAATTTATGATTTTGCTCATTTCTCTGATCTCATCCACAAAAGGCTGCAATAACATAATTTTACTTTCTTATTTGATGTGCAAATTAAAACTTATTATCTCCAATGGGACAAAGGTGTATATGTTAAGATCTTAAGATTTTAGGTTTTGAATATGTTTGACACAACTAGCTGAAAATATACTTTTGTAAACTTTAGTAATTGATGGCTTTTAGTGATTGAAAAGATTAGAAAAGGAAAATGATGTAGGGGTTTGATAAAAAGTTGATTGTTTCATTTATCTATGTTTGATATAACAAATTGTTGTAACTAATTAGTGCTAAAAGATACAGACTAATTAATGCTAAAAGAATCCTGTTGTAGCTTCTCAAAAAAGATACTCCCTCCGTCCCATATAGAGGTTCCGGTTCAGTTTACTTGTGCTAGTCAAAGTTTGCAATTCTGAACAAGAGGTAGAAAACTTTTAAAAGTCCCATAAAATAGATACTCCATATTTCTAAGGCCATCTCCAACAAGCACCATCTTCAACACCAAAATGGTGTATTTGGCAAAAAAATGCTCCAACAATAACACCAAACTTGACACCATTACACCAAAATGGGGGAGGGGGGAATGGTTTGCACTATATATGGCGTACGCCATCTCTTGCACTATCCTTTTTTTGTATTTTTTTCTGTCAAATGTGACCCAAAGTTTTGGTTATTACAGTTTTGACCCATTTTTAAAACAACAAATTAGGAAGTTTTACTTGGACTGAAATTTATTGATCCAGTCTGATTTGGTCTGGTCCGGTCTGGTCTGAATTGATGTGGCCTGGTCTGATTTCTTTGTATTTTTATAACCACCCATGTTTGGTCTAATCCGGTTTGATCTGATCTGAAACAAATTACAGTCCAAGTAAAAACATCCTTGTACAACAACAATCAAAACAATTAATTTGATAAAAATAATATAATAACATTTAAATCACACAATATTATAAATAAAGATTCAAATCCAAACAACATAATAACAGAAAACAAATGGTACATAAGAAAATAACATAATTAAAATTACAATTAATAACACCATTATAATAAAAATTAAAACATAATAAAAAACATACATAGTACATACTAATTTAGAATTTAGTAATCATTCAACCCGCATCCAGAGCCTCCAAGTCCATCAAATAGATTCCCAAATCCAACTGATGATCCTCCTTCTTGAGATTTTTTTTGTAAAATTCTTGATCTTTCTGCAATGATATACGCTCGCGTTTGTGGATCGTGAATAGAATTCAAATCCATGAACATAATTTTATCTTCTCTTTTCTGTTCTTTGTATGCCATATTTTGCCGCTGGATTTGCAATTGTTCCTGTTGATCTAACGATGATTTCTTCAACATCTCTATAAGTTGCTCATTGTCGCTCTTAACTGACTTAAGCAAATCAGTAGTGTCTTCATCATTTTTCTTCTTCAATTTTGCTTTTTTTACCCCTATTGGTCGTTTTGAAAAATCTGACCCGGAATCAGTATCAACTTCTTTATTGAATGAAGATGACAATCCAGGTGATGAGGAAATTGGAGATGGTGAATGGGAGTCTGATTGGGAAGATTCATAATTAACTTGTCTTTTTTTTGGAGCAACATGTCTTGCAGTTGACACATTATCTTTAAATTTTTCAAAATTTTTAATGTGATCCCAAACGTGATCAAATTTAAAGCCTTTAGAATATTTAGGATCTTGCATAAATAACACTTTAGCACGATCCAGCTGCAAATCATACAAATAAATTTGTATTATATAAAAGTAAATAAATTATTGAAAATAAAATTTATATGATACTTACAATATCTTTTTCAGAAGCACCACTTGGATATAAATTCTCCACTTGCTTCACGCACCCATTAAGCTTCCATGCCTGAGTAGTTATTGTATCCATTCTTGAATGCAGTGAACGTGTATTACGCTGCTCATGATTTTGTTGACGTAGTTCATTGTACTTAGCTTCAACTCGTGACCAAAAATCATTTGCAGATTGATATCTGCCGATGATCGGGTCTTGAGTTATGTCTAAATACACTTGACACAACAATACGTCTTCAACTATGGTGTAACTTGTAACACCCTCAAATTTCCCGATCTACTACATTTATATAATTGAAAGGAATTCTTTATTCATTCATCAAAGAGTTGAAGAAATACAACGGAAGTCTAAAAGGGAAATGAGTGTTACCGCCACATCCGGTCATCTCTTAACCGAATGCACAGGCAAACCAAAACAAAATAATAAAACTAATGAAATAGTAAATAAATGTTTATTTCATGACTAAATTTAACTAAGGTATCTTCTAATTTGCACTCAAGCTCGAGCAATCCATCAATCCACATAGGCATCCAACTCATCACCTGATAAAACTTAAGGGAGAAGAGAGAGACAAGAGAAATAACAAAAATTAGCTTTAGAGCTAAGTAAGTACTACCCAACCCCGTAAAATAATCAGGTTTGGTGAAAATAGATTTTTATATAATACTATATAAAAATAACACACTCCATAAAAATCCTTTTCACTTTGATTTTTCTCAAAACCACTTCTTTACTAAAACCCTCAACTTCTCTTCAAAAAATCTTATAGTAACTCTTTTCTTTGAACTTCTCAAAAAAAAAAATCTTCTTCTCTAACTTCCTAGTAATTTAGAAGGGTGGTGCTCAACCTTTCGATTGAGTTCGGTGGACCGTGGTTACAGACGGCCACCCTGAACAAGTGCCGGTACCACAACTGCTCTTGCGGAAACGAAACGACTACCTTAAGTGTGCACACCCCCTAAAAGGGATTCCAAGCACTCCGAGTAGTAAGTCATCCCGAGTGGTCGGAACCTAACCACCCCACCTCTAAAATTCTTGAATGATTAGGGACTACTACTATAACTTCTTCTTAAAAGGATGCCGTTACTACTATACAAGTCATCCCGAGTCATCCCGAGTGGTCGGAACCTAACTAGTTGGTGCCGTTACAAATCATGACAACTATTTCCACCAATGAAGAAATGCAACAAGTAGACTCGGATTATCAGCTTTACAAAAAATAACAACTGTATTTCGTATGTTGGCATATGGTGTGCCTGCGGATACAACAGACGAGTACGTTAAAATAGGTGAGTCTACAGCAATTGAAAGTATGAAAAGGTTTTGTCGATCTATTGTTCAAATATATGGAGGGCAGTATCTAAGAAGACCTAATGACAATGACATAGCGAGACTTCTTGACATTGGAAAACAACGTGGATTTCCAGGAATGTTGGGGAGTCTTGATTGCATGCATTGGAAATGGAAAAATTGTCCTACAACATGGGCAGGACAATATTCTGACCGTAGTGGCTCACCAACTATCATCCTTGAAGCTGTGACAGATTATGATCTTTGGATATGGCACGCATATTTTGGAATGCCTGGTAGTAACAATGATATTAATGTGTTAGAGGCATCCAATCTTTTTTGAGATTTAGCACAAGGAATTGCTCCTCCCGCTCATTATATTATTCAAGGAAAAGAGTATAATGTCGGTTACTATTTAGCGGATGGTATATATCCAAAGTGGTCAACACTTGTTCAAACAATTCATCAACCACAAGGTAGAAAGAAGAAATATTTTGCCATGAGACAAGAAGCATGTAGAAAAGATGCTGAACGTGCCTTTGGAGTATTGCAATCCCGATTTGCAATTATCGCAGGACCTTCACGTTTTTGGGAGAAAAAAGTCTTACACGACATAATGAGTGCATGTATTATTATGCATAATATGATAATAGAGAATGAACGTGATATACATGCACCAGTTGAAGATGTGAGAGATACACCAGTTCCAGATGTTGAAGTGGCAGTTGATGAGGCGGCACGGTTCACTCAATTTCTTAGCCGACATAACTAAATTCACGACAAAGACGCTCATATCGAGCTCCGCAATGCGTTAATTGATCATTTGTGGGAGCAATTCTCAAATTCTGATAACTAAACTAAGAATATTTATTTAATCTATTGGTTTAAGTTTAAGTAGTACTTTAATAATGAGGTATAATATTATTGTAACGTTTAATTTTATGTGGTTTTAGCTTGTATTTGTGAAATATTGATTATTGTGTTTTAATTAGTGAAATGCGTGAAAATACATATTAAAATGATGTATTTTAGTTTGTATGTGTGAAATAATGTGCGAAATGTCAAAATATTAAATGAGGGGCTAATGTATAAATATAAGATAGTTAGATACTTAAATAGAAGAATGGTAAACAATTAGTAAAAAGAATAAAAAGAGAATATTCCTTTTTAGTGATGAAAATGGTGTAAACCGTTGGAGATAAAATATTGTTTGATGTGATGTTTACACCATGTTAGTGTAAAAAATGGTGTTAACTGTTGGAGATGGCTAGCTGAACAAGTTTATTTATTGAGGTAATGTCCTAGACATTAGTATTTATAGAAAAAGTATTAATAGCATGTGCCCGACGTACCATCAAGAAGAGGGAGGGTACTGTGCCACCACTTGATTCCATCAATCCACAGGTATAACTGGCAAACACATTTTAGGTTCCTTTGCAAATTGAACCATAAATCTTCCACTTCTCTGGAAATCAGCAGCAGGAAAGACCAGGCAAGTTCGATGAAGAAGGAGGAACATGTGAAGAAGATAGACATGGATGAAGATGGTGATCCCAAAGTGGACGGAGTAATCATGGAAGAATCTCTGCCGGGGAAAACTCCCGGCGGCTCAGCCGTCCATCCCGCCGCGTCGCCAACCTCATCGGCATCCTCTCCCGTTCATGAATTTTCGTTCACCCATTCTCTCCCCCAATCTGAAGCAGCAAATGCGCCGGAGAAAACAAGGCATCCGTTCGCCGTTGACTTAACTCCGGCCGATGATATATTCTTCCACGGCCAATTGCTCCCCCTCCAACACCACCACCGCCACCACCACCACCACCCCTCGGCCGTCTCCCCCCGCACATCCAACATCTCGTCGGGAATTCCCATCTCGCCGCCAGTCAGCAAAGAATATCAATACCCACCGGACCAAAACAACACCTCCCGCAGTCAAAGTCAAACAGATCGCCACCGCCGGAAAAACAGCGAAGATCTGAGGAGGGAGGAGAAATCCAAACCGAGATCCTTCTCTTCCATGTTCTGGCCGCCGAAATGGAAGAAAGGGTACGAGGGCAGGGAGAAGGAAAAACAGGGGAAGAAGGTGAAATTCGATGTGACGCAGGTTGTGAAGCGGTACATGAAATTGGTGACGCCATTGTTGGGGATGAGAGGAGGAAGAAGAAGAAGCAGAACAGCGGCGGATGAAGAGAGGCAATCTAACTATTCGTATTCCGGCCATATAAGCGTCAGGGGAAAATGGAAAAAGGAAACCAGTATTAGAGGGAGGTCGTCGGCGCCGGCGTCGTTGAGAGCGTCTCCGGCGAACAGCGGCGTTCTTTTGCCGCCGACAACTTCCGGCATTTCGTCTTCTTCGAGTGTGAGCACCATGGAAGACTTACAGTCAGCCATTCAAGCTGCCATCGCTCATTGCAAGAATTCGAGTGCCACGTCAGATTAACTCAAACTTTTAAACTAATTTCATTTCATTTCATTTTTTCCTAGTACCTTATTAAACTTTGTTCCTTGCAATTAATCGGCAATAATTAGCTAGTTTTGTTTTGCCATGGAAACTATACGTGTATATTAACAATTAATTAATGATCGATCCATGGTCGAGATTCTAGACTCAATGAAAAATTATATTATCTCTTTTTCATTTATATGTCTTGTCTTGATTTGATACAATGTTTTGTCTTGATTTGATACGATTATTAATAATTTAATTAAAAAATTAAAAATTATTGTTGAAATGAGAAAAGTTCTAGTGACAACCCTTCCTAAAATGTGAACTCTTTAAAATGAAAATGCTTAATTTTCTACTTTCATTTATTATTATACTCCGTAATCATCAGTTAAAATTCATGTGGGGTCACATTCATAATTACCTTAAATTTAAATGAAGGAGTTTTTTAATTAATCCTGAATAATTACAAAAATGTTAACTTGTCATTATTAGTTATTGATGGTAAAAATGAATGATGAAAGTTAGAAGTTCTTATTTCAAAAAACATTCTCATTCTAATAGAGGTTCTCATTAGAATCCTCCAGTATTGAAATTTGAGTACAAAATATAATAAAGTGAATTGGCGTAAATCATTTATTTCTTTCTAAAAAAGAATGTGACACATACTTTGGATAATTAGAAAAAAGAAAGTACTATATTAAACAATCTTACAATCCTATATCAAAGTACTACGTACAAAATATATATACGTCGTATAATATGCATTTTGTTAAGATAAACATTTGTTCATATCATGATTGTTTCGGAGATATGATGAGCGCCTTTATATTATCTATCTCTTATGGCTGGAATTTCATTGTCGTTGTACATAAAATATGTGAAAAAGTTTTGGCATTACTCGCTAATAGAATTGTTATATTGGAAATCCGAACATGTGACAAGCAGTGTAAGTATGTTTGTACAATAATTGTACTTCAATTCGTATGTGTTATGGTTCAGTGCATCATCGCACAGCCGTCTAAAAAAAGAGTGGGTTCGCAAGATGTGTTATACGGTATGTTCGGTAGAATTATGGAGTCCTTGAGATTGATTCTATTTCAAAAAGTGATTTTGTAAAGTGAGTTTGGAGAAAGTAATTAATACTTGTAGTAAAAGTGATTCTGAAAAAGTAAGAGTTGATAGTGTTTGATAAAATAAATGTTTTTTGTGTAACAGAAAAAGTGAAAAAGCAGTTTAAAGCACTCTTTCACCTGCTTCCAGCTTTTAGCTTTTAAGTGGTTAATTTAATCAGAAGTTGTCATTTGAAAACACCCTTTTCAGCTTTTTCTAAGCCAAAATCTGAAAATAACTTTTTAAAGCTTTAGCAAACACTCCCTTGGTAGAATTCAGCTGATTTCAATGTTACCAAACGAGCACTAAATGACTTAAAGAATATTAAATCAAACATGTGGTAGCTATTTGATAAAAAGTTGACGGTTTGATTGAGTTCTGTTTGGTGTATAAGTTGTTCTAACTAATTAATGACTTAATGCTAAAAGATACAAATTTTTATCAGATGCTACTCGGTGTAGCTTCTAAAAAAGTTCTTTTATTATGAAATAAGCTCTTAAAAACTGTTATGGCTATGTTTGGCGGACATAAGTTCCAGCCATCTAGCTTTTATACTATTTAAAAAATCTTTAAAAGCTTATAGTTGTATGTTTGACACGCCAATTTTTAAGAGCTTTTATAAAAATAAAAGATCTTTTTTGAGATGCTACAGTGAGTAGCATCTCAGATAAGTCCGTAGCTTCTAGCATTAATTAGTCCTAACAGCTTGTATACCAAACGGAGCTAAATCAAACAGTCGGTTTTTACCAAACAGCTATGACCTTTTCTTTATAAGATCTTTTCAGTCACTAAAAGCTAACAGTTATTAAAAAGTTCATAAAAGTATCTTTTCAGTTAGTTGTGCCAAACATACCCTATGTTAAATATACATCTAGAGGCTTTTAAAATCTTTTTAGTCCAAAAGCGAAAAAGCAAGAGCTTGTGGCTATATTTGACACAACTAGCTGAAAACATATTTTTATGATTTTTTTAAATAACTGTTAGTTTTTAGTGATGAAAAGATTTTAAAAGCAAAAGGTTGTAGCTGTTTGATAACAAGCTTACTGATTTATTTAGTTCTGTTTGGTATAACACGCTGTGTGACTATTTAATGTTAAAAGCTACAGACTTTCTCACATATGCTACGCATTGTAGCATCTCAAAAAATATCTTCTAATTTGTGAAAAGCTCTTGTAAATTGTCGTGTAAACATACAATTAGACGTTTTTAGAGAATTTTTAAATAGTACAAAAGTTAGAAGACAAACACTCATGCCAATCAAATATGCACTATTCTTGTCAGATAAATGAAGCCCAATTATAAAGTAAACGATCTCAAATAACATGCATATACAGGGAAAGTTCGTCGACTTTTATTTTTCGTGTAATAATAGGGTATGTTTGACACAACTAGCTCAAAAGATATTTTTATGAGCTTTTTAATAACGATTAGCTCTTAGTAACTGAAAAGATTTTAAAATAAAAAGGCGAAAATTGTTTGATAAAAAAAACCACTTTTTTTTATTTAGCTCTGTTTGACATACAAGCTGTTGAGACTAATTAATGCTAAAATCTATATCCTTTCCTTAGATGCTACTCACTGTAGCATTTATAAAAGGATCTTTTATGTTTTTAAAATTTCTTAAAATTTGTTATGCCAAACATTGAGTTAAAAGCTTTTAAAGATTTTTTTAGATAGTACAAAAGTTAGAAGATAGATATATACTTACCAATCATGCTCATTATTGTCTTATTAATTTTTTACTACCTATCAATATTTGATTTTGCACTCTAATTTAATAATAATTAAAATATCTTAAGTTAGAGTTCCTTTTCCTTGTGAATTGGACAATTTTATAGAAAATGACCGTTTTACTTTTTATAATATATTTTTTTATAACCAATAAGACATTCCGTTTAATTTAAATATATATTTTTGTAATTCATGAGATTCAATCAGAATTTGAGTAATTTTAACACTTTCAATAAATTCACTACCGATACCCGCACGGGTAGCTCAGTTGATTGAGTGGTGGGAAAATTGGATCAAGTGATCAAAGTTCGAAACCCGCAGCGGCCGTGTGAAGGTTACAGAACTTGAAATAAAACTGGACCTCTGATGCGCACGTGTATAAGGCCTACCACCGCTTTGCTGACTGAGTCACCGTGATTAACCCCCCATCATCTTGTCGGGTCGAGGTGGGAGCTTTGGGTTTGGGCATTGAACTTTTGGAGCAAATAAATTCACTACCAATTTAAATGTATCAAGTAGCCACCCAAACAAAATGTGTATACAGAACCTCAATTAGAGTATGGGACCAGAGACATATACTCCCCTAGCTCTAGGATTAGTTATTAGGCGGGTGATCCAAGATTGATCATCACTCATCATTCAATAATTATTATCAATAGATTAATTTACTAGGCATCTCGCTGGATCCCAATCCCCAAAGCCGTGTGCATGGTGCAGATTCAATGGATATTAATCATTAACTAATTATCTAATTTAGTTTCGTATAAAATGTATTAGCCGATATTTATTTGAAGACCTATTTTGTTTATACGATAGTATGTTTCACATTTCCTGGAATTAATAATCGATGGGCGTTAACGATAGGGGTCGACAAAAACACCGAACCAACATGATATCGAACCGGATCAGTATAGTACCGAACTGATAAATGGGGTTTGAAACGGATCTCAATTTTTTTGCCCCGAACAGGACCATACCATACCGAAGTATGATTTAAACGTACATGTATACTGTATTTGTGGATTTTTGTCTGTTGATTTATGTTTTGTACATCTCAAATTAAGTAAACATAAATGTATATCTCAAAATAATGTTTTGTGATTTATGTTTAATACTACTATAATTTATCTGAAATTGATCAATTATTTAATATGATAAATGATAAATTGTGTGGATTTTTGGAGTATGACTAAACTTTAATTTTCCCTTAAAAGTTGAAAAAAGTATCATTGCTTGATATTAGCATGAAATGGTATCGTCTCGTTTACAAAGGAATCGTATCGAACGGGTTTAGGTCTAAGATCGAACCGAATCAGACCGTTTCAATAGTCACTATATGACTACGGGTTCAACTAAATATCGGACCGTTTCGGACCGTGCCCATGCCTAGTTTCTAAACAGAATTGCATGTTGCCGGTGCTTACAAGTTACGAGCGGCGACAGGTGTGAAACGCTGGCCCCTAGCCGTTTACTTTCTTTTTTCTCTTCACTTTTTTCCATCATGCCAAAAGATTTTTCTCGTTGTATTCCATTTAATATAGTATACATACACTTCTTTTTCTTGCGGTTCAGAACCAGCTGCAGGAGCATCTGCATCAGCTCGAATTACCGCATTTGTGATTGGCAAGGCTTGTTTAGCACATTTCTTCTAAATTTTTTACATTAGTTAATGACGGTTATGGGGTCTCTTCCAAATCACCCCCGTGGTTTGAGCCCCTCCCAAACAACCGACGAGGTTTCAGAAAATTTAGATAAAGTGACCCAGGATCGGGTCCTGCAAGCGGCAACGTGAGACTAATCTCTCAATGCTAAGGAGACTCCTTGTGCGCAATAGAAACTAGTCTAACATTTTTGTTAAATCGAGTCACTATGAGTTACAACCACTCATATATTTTGTATGACCGGGTGATAGGTTCATATTTCAACACGCATTTGATGCATGTTGGGATTGATTTTTTCCACTTTTCCTAATCTAAATGAGTCACAAAGCGTTTAATTAGCTTAAATCACGGTTTACCGGGTTTGCTTTGCGTTTGTTGATTTTAAAAGAAAAAATCAGGAATTTGAACCCGACACCGACGTTAGAGATTAATTTGAGAAGATTTGGGACATTTTCGAGTGATGTTAAGAAGTGTTGGAGACCCACGGGGCAATTGAGGAGCATTTTTTGTGTCAAAAGAAGTCAAAGAACGAAGGTGGGATCGATCGGGATCGAACGAGGAAGAAAAGAGCAAGAAAACGGTTCAAAAAACGGTTCAAATGAGGTCTGCGCCCCCCGCGCATCTTGCCCGCACGCCCCACAGACGATTCAAAGAGCATGAAGTTCAAAAGTTTGAACCGCACGCCCCGCACGCA